CGCTACTAGGCGCCCTGCAATCTGATGGACGCGAATCCAAGACGATCATGACGTACGGTCGCGGACACGGTGGCGGAGCGATATGTACGATTACCAGTCGCTGGTAGATGTGATTCTGAACGTCAATCTTTTTTTAGTTCTTTCTGGTTATGTGGCGGCTTCTATCACACCCTCCCCCCTGTCCACCTCCCGTCGCGGAGCCCGCTCCCCCCCTCTCTCGACAGACACGCAACGTAGATCTCTCTTGTGTAGGCACTTTCTTTGTGTAGTGACTGACATGCACAGTTTCGTTGGGTGGACTCCACAACAGCTACAAGTAACTATGGCAACGGACCGGATATTCCGGATTCCGTATGAGTACATTAGCACCTTGACATCATCGATAGGAGAGGAATAATCACGCTTCTATACGGTGCATAACCCATCTACAAATCCCACTGACTTGTTCACCCAATATTCACATAGCCGTTTCCAGCACAAGACAATATTCGATGCTGTACCGCTTATACGGCGCTGCTATCACTGTCAGCAATCATGAGCCTCTTCGCCGATTCTTCCAAGACCCCATCCAAGGGTTCCGAGTCCAGCCCATCTTCGCGAAATATGGTCAACGAGCTTTCGCCATCGGGGAAGAAACCATCCAACGACAGAAGGGTGCAGCTGACTGGGCTGAAATCGCTCCATCCTCTCGCCTTGCTCGGCTGTTGTGCAATTGCCGATGGATCTGTGATTTCGACCTGTGATTCGATAGCAGTCTTGATCATAAGATCGCATAGACTGCCGATACCGCTCCTCCCGTCTTCGTACCGCTGGTCAACAACAAAATTCAGATGCTAGGAAATTGCAGCCGCAAGCCGACTTTGAACAGCTGTATTGCACGACGTCGACCGATTCTCATGTCAATCCCAGTACTATTTGGTGCCGTCGGGATGGATCACGATCGTGTTAGGAAGCTCCAACTAGTCCGAGAGAACACTCTTGAGCTAGATCTCGGTTCTTAGAGTCGATGAATTTCCTCTCGGCGGCGTAGAGAGCGTCCCGGTCCTCACTTGAAAACCGGGGCGGACCGAATATCGACGCTTTCTACCTTGCTCTCATATACACTGCTTGATCACCATACCCCAAGCCGAGAAGATCGCAAGTCATCCTGTGTTAGGGGCTGGAGTTTGTACCGTACCCAATCTCCTTCGACAAGATGGATGGAGTACTTCTTACCGTACTTTGATGTGAATGCCATTTCGTTGAACGAAGGATGAGCTCGAGATATCCGTAGTGATGATTAAGTAAGGACACGTAGCAATGAAGAAAAGAGCTCACCTTCATATAACAGTGCTGAGTGTCTCAAAGAGAGTGTAGCGTAGCCCAGCCAGTGTGCGACGGGCAGGGGCATAACCATCCATGTGAATACCTGCCTATAAGTGCTAGTCTATGGCATCCATTGTCTACTGTTGTGAGTAAGAATCTCTTTCGAGTCGATGGGTCAAAGGTAGAGCGAGGAGGGCTTTTCGCCATAGGTCTCGACCCACGAAAGTCATCGCGGACGCCTTTTGGACATCAACGATCAGATGGGGATACAGTGTGCTTCCAGGCTAGTCAGCAAGACATGACAATGCGGTGCGATGCATTGCACTCGTCTGTATATATGTATCTGCTCTCGTCTTCGTAAAGGAGCTGCTGTATACCATCTTGATGGACGTATTCGCATGTTTTTTGCAGCGCAACCATGGCTAAAGCGCGGCGCGTGAGATCGGGTGAAGCGGCCGAAGCGTTTATGAGTTTATAAGGGCAAGCCGGCGGTTCTAGCTACACATCGATGTGCGAGCATATCGGACCGATGTTGCAGCGAAACAGGAGGGCTTTTAAGCTTATTCACGTAATTTGGGAATCATGTGAACGCCCCTCTGTACAATTTGAACAGATTTGATTGGCTCAGAGAAGCCGAGTTTCGCGTATTATCTATTTTCAAGCGCATCTAGCGGGTATAAACCCCACCTCGGTCATGCAAAAATAACAAAATTATCTTCGGCCGATACTTGGCGGGGCTCTTACAAGCATGTTAAACGCCAAAACCAAAATACGACGCGAATGTCTGTTTTTGTGGAAATCGACTCGTGGTGAAAATGAAGGAAAGCTTAGCAGTTTGACGACAAAGGCAATGTCATTATGAGTCTCGTCGTTGACATTATCATCCGCATCATCTTCGCATCAGAAAAACAGAGCGATAATCTCTGCCGATAGAGAGAAAGGAACATTTCATTTGAAGCTCGCCACAACGCCTCAAAAAAAGCTTGATCCAGACAAGCGACGCAAAATGACAAATATCGAAGAGAAACTGGCAGGCGCCCGAGATGTCGCCGCCCAGGACGACTCGAGGACTCCCTCGACGATCCCGGATCATAAACAGGCTCTCGCCGAGGAGATCGCTGCGATGACCCCTGAGGAGTTCGAGGCGGCTGACAAGAGATTGATAGCGAAGATTGACAGAAATCTCGTACCATGGATGACGTGAGTAATCGTGCTCTTGGACAACCTGCGCCGGAAAGAAGATCATCAGGCTTATAGCTGAGTGTGTGATCTTGCGGACATCTCAGCCTTCTGTTCACCATGTCCTTCCTCGACCGAATCAACATCGGTACTGCGAAGCTCGCAGGTCTGAATGAGGATCTTGGCTTGACTTCGCTACAGTATAACACGGCGTCCATGAGTGAGTGACCTTGGGCTCTTCCATTATGTCTCCTTTGTGTGCTTTCGCTGACATGCGTATCTGTTGGGGAATCTGTTTCTCAGTCTTCTTCGTCAGTTATGTCGCTGCTGAAGTGCCGTCAAACCTTGTCCTCAAGAAATTCAGGCCATCAAGATGGATTCCTCTTATCATGATTGTATGGTCGCTGTTCCAGATCTTCAGTAAGTTCAGGCAGACCAAGTTCCGAAAGTCATTGGCAAATGCTGACAAGAAGACCTGTTCTCCAGTGGGTCTCGTCCAGAACTACCACCAGCTTCTCGCCATGCGATTCTGTCTCGGTCTCGCTGAAAGTGGTATGTACCCATCTTCGCCGCTCTTTCAACAATCGTTTGCTAACGGGGCGTGTATACTTAGGTCTCTTCCCCGGTATCTCATTCTTCTTGACGGGATGGTACAAGCGTAAAGAAGCTTCCAAGCGTATCTCACTCTTCTTCGCTGGTGCGGTACTGGCTGGTGCTTTCGGTGGTATCTTCGGATGTAAGTGGATGATATCACCAGCGAATCATGAAGGACTGTATGGCTCATCACCCTAACGCGCAGATGCCTTGAGCCGAATGGACGGTGTCGGTGGTAAATCAGGATGGTCATGGATCGTGAGTACAAACTCTCTACGTGAAACAGGCCAATGACGGCCTTAGCAGCTGATCATTTTTTTGTTCGTACAATAGTTCATTATCGAGGGTCTTCTGTCCTTCGTTATCGGTATCGGATCTATCTGGATGGTACACGACTGGCCCGATCAGGCCAAGTTCCTCACTCCGCTCGAGAAAGAGATGGTCTTGCTTCGACTCAAGGAGGATACCGGTATCATGCAGGAAGGCACCTTCAGCTGGAAGGTTATCAGACGGGCTCTTACGGACTGGAAGGTGAGCATACTCATGCCGTTCATGCACGTTTAGATGTTCAAGTGTCGAAGAGGTGCTGATTGAGCTGCCCCCAGACACCCTGCTTCATGCTCATGTACATTGGTTGCGCGGAGCCCATCTACAGGTGAGTTGTCATCATTACGCTCATTGACAATGTCCAGTGCGGTCAGCTGACAGATCATGCTCAGTCAATCCCTCTTCTCGCCGACCATTATCGCCGCTCTCGGCAGGTTTACAACCCCTCAGTCTCTCCTGCTCAGTACACCTCGTGAGTTGCCCTCTGAATCTGCTGCTGGACTGCCATCCGAGCTAATTCCGTCCGGGTTCTGCAATCAGCCTATGTCCTCGCTTTCATCACTACCATGACCACAGCCTACTTCAGCGACAAGACCGGTAAACGAGGGATCTTCCTTATGTTCTGGTCCGCGATGGCTGCCATCGGCTACCTCCTTTTCTTGACGATCCCCATTAAGCACTCCGTGAGTCCAAAATTGGTTATGCTCCGCTATCATACGGTCTGCTGACTCTGTCGCGATAGGGTGCCCTGTATTTTGCCGTCTTCCTCACCACTTGCTCGATCGCCCCTTGTATCGCCACTACTATCGTGTGGTCCGGTAACACATTCGGCAACCATTGTAAGTCTTGAACTGCAAACATTTCGTGCTCCCACGATCGGCATTAGGTACATTGCTGACAGTATCCATCTGTCGTTCGCAGACAAGAAAGCTACCTCAATGGGTTTCATCTTCTCTCTCGGAAACAGTGGTGGTATTATCGCCAGTCAAGTCTATCGAGGCAAGGACTCGCCCCGATTCCTCGTCGGCCAAGGTGTGACATTTGGCTTCTCGTGCATCTGCTTCCTGGCAGCTATCACGATGTACTTTGGTCTGAGAAGGGAGAATGCTCGAAGAGAACGGGCTTATGGGCCTGCTCCTGGACCGGGTCAGACGAGCGAATGGGATAGCGAGGAGGGCAAGAAACGATGGGGCTTGGAGGGAATGTCGAGGCAGGAGATCATCGATCTGGGAGATGATCATCCCGCTCACCGATTTATCCTCTAAACCAAAATCGATTTAGGGAGGCTCGATACGGTATGGATGTTCTTTCATTAGCACAGCATCTGAGGGTATATACGGCATGGTATTGTTGAAGGCATCCGCATGGTTTTTCTTCACTAATAGATTCTAGATAGGTAGACTCTAAAGTAATTTAGTAACAGCTTCGTTGTCAGGCAAAGCTGATGCACTGACTTACCGCACAAGCCTGTGGGCATCGACATGTTTTCTGCAAGATATAATGTTACCTCATATACAAGTCGAGGTGTATTAACAGGTATAGCACATCCTGACCCGCTGAACATTCGTGTAGCGAATGACTGCTGGACTCTCATCTTCGGCCATAGAATCGAGAAAGTACCACATCCCGTCCGCTCTGTGAAGTTTTTAAGCTCGATATCGCTCGGTTAGTACCATCGTAGGGGACCAGATGGGAATCCCGGGTGCTGAAGTTCATATGTGCTTTTTGTGGCGTGGTCCGTGTTACCTCTAGACGGGTCTGAACAGGACCATCTTTGTGCCGCGGGGGACCGAGTGGTACAGTAGAGCGAACGTGCGTCTCTTGAGACGTTCCGTCCTCGCTCAAACACTGTCTTCCTCGGAAAGTTCAGCTGATCCTTCTATAAAGACTGTAATGCCTGCTCTTCGGCTACCACCATATCTCACCTCTGTGTACATCCAGAATGCCCGTCTCACCTGGTCGAGCACTCGTCGGTCGACGCGGCCGCTGTCCACTTCGCTCTAGCGCCACAGATACATGTGTATAGATTAGGATGTCATTGACTCCCTGGAGCCTGAATTCTTTGGTGTCAAAGTAGCTGACTTTTTTGCCATCCAATTTGTCACACTACACACTATCTACTGGCAATACGTAAGAACCCCCTCTAGTTCACAAGACCGACTCTCCACCCGTACTCTACTCTAAAGAGACGCCGATTATCATGACATCGATTTGCTTGTCGCTGTGATGCGGCCCGAAAATATACAGAACATTGGTCGGAATTCCTCCCGGAACAGGGACGTCCCTCTCCGATCGTACCGAAGCTCTGGTCTGGTTTGTCGCTCCTGTTGAACGTGGATCCGCGTAGACGCCGAGGTTCCAAGGATGAGTCGCCTTCGTTTCGAGCAGCAGGGGACTGGCTTCTCGAGTTGGAAGCATTGCCCCATTTGTCATGCGTACCTGGAAAGCCGGACTGAGAAGGAGCGGAGGATTGGAACCAGGGCAACAGTGGCGAAGGAGCTGGACCACTTCCTCCCTTTTCTTCCTTCGCAACCATCCACGCGGTGTTGGTGGAGTATGGACTGCCTAAAGGGGTTGTATGCGTGGATGTCCCACCGTCGAAGCGAATGGCAGGACTAGTAAGCAGATTGGTGGGGTCTTCTGACGTACGAGTTCCATGTACCTTGGCGTCCGGTTGAGACCCGTGCGCTTCCGCTTCCGAAGTGAAACCGACAGGCCTGAAAGTACTCGATGCGAGGCCGGCTGTAGAATGAGGTACTGTCTCAGCAACAGACATGCTGCTATAGCACAACCCTGACGTTTCACCATGGGATCGTTCCAGCCTCTGTTGACTCTTTGCTTGCACGTCTTCCCCCGGTCTGACACTCCGATCATGGTATGATGCTCCAGTATTTGCGTCCTGAGCTGGCATTCGTTCATCGCCGCTCCTTGGAGGATTGGGGGGTAAAGGGCTTCGAAAGTATCGTGTAATAAAGGCGCTGTCGGACTCGGTCGTCTGCTGCGGCATGACGTTGTACAATAATGTGTCTGCAGAAAATGTACTGTGTCTGGAATGGAGCTAGAACTGGCCGCGGTTGGACCGAAGAAATACAGTACTGTAATGGGCAGATAAAATTCCCGTGTGAACTACCTTGGGGAATTCAGTGAACGGGAGAAGGGATCGATTTCACGAAGGCGAAGCCGAAGATTGATCAACTACTCTTAGCTTTATATAGGCGCAGACGGTGGGAAGCTATGCTCTGGCGCCGAGTCGCTACGTAGCCGACTTTCCATTGCTGGGCCTCTAATGGAGCTTCAGATGGTGAGAAGACAAAGAAACAAAAGGACGACTCAAAACCTCGATACAAAGGTGATACTCAGAATCAAAGGACGGATGTGTTCTCGTACTGTACTCGAGTACAGTTGGAACAAGTGTATCGTGGCTCCTGTATGCTCTACGAAGGTACTGTACATACTACCGAAAGATGTCATCTCGTACTGTCACGACTCGTACCAGTTTCGCTCATTGCCGATCCGTGCACTCGTGCTTCTGAGTCACTCGAGTCACCTTAAACCATCAAGTGCCTTTCTGATTTCGTTACTGTTCCAAGACAACGCCACCGGCCCCGCTGCTCGCTGTAAATGAACAATTACGGGATCGCAAGCAGAACATAGAAGCATTCAGCCTGGGCTTCATTCTAGAATTGGCCTCCTCGCGCGCTGGTACTGGTAATGAACTGAGTTACTGGGACACTTACTTCCATTGCGTCGAAATTCACCCTGCCGACCGGGTGCTGGTTCCTGAGGTCGTCGTACTGTATTTGGTGGCGTCAGAATCCTACGTCAGCTAGTCTGCTACGTCACATATCACAGTATGGATACCCAAATGTATTGGACGACGATAACCGCTCATCTTGTGCTACTCGCACTTGACTCAGGTGTACTCACCAGCTTTGTACGTCCTTCCTTCTCAACAGTATCTGTTCCGTTCGCCTGTTGTCGCGACGAACGGGCATTGCTGTCGATTGGGGCAGTGTTGGAGCCCTGGGGAAAGCTTCCTGCCGCCGAGCTGAAAACCGGCGGCGCAAATATGCCGTTCTGATCGTAGAATGGATGTGTCTGGTGCCATACGTCCCATGGGGCACAGCCTGACCAATTCCTGTAGCTCATTGATTGACTCTGATGGGGCATGTACATGTATGCGGAGCCATATGGGGGATAAGGTTCGTGTTGGGACTGAACTCCCGACTCAGATGAACGTTGTGGGAGTCCGGTCGTTGAATTGGCCGACGGATACGAGTATGGAGGTGGTTTGGGAAGGATGGGGCGGTACGTGCGCGGCGAAGCACCACTTTGCTCCAATTGACCAGCGTATGCAGGGTTGCAGGATGATTGCGGAAGCATGGAATGGGGCTGAATGGGTAGGTTCGAGCCGTGGAACTGGGAGGAAAGGGGGCCATGGTGGTCGACCGATCCGGGATGTGTGATAGTCCCGAAGGCGGTCTGCTGATTAGTAGCCGGGTTGACATTTCTAGCGCCAGTATAAGTCTCAAAGGCGGTAGCTCCTTGGTCGTAGATAGGTCTGCTCCCGCCAGGCGCCCAGGGGTACCTCCAACCTTCTTTCAAGTTCCCGCTGGAACAGCCTTCGTACGGCAATTGTGTTGTAGTTGTAGGACGTGGGACACCTCCAGAGGCAGAACATGCCGGCACGAAAGTAACCCCCAGGGAGCCGCTTGGTATGTCCGATCCCGTCCGGGCAACATGAGCACCGGATGAGACGAGATGAGAGGGAGGCTGGCTGGTCTGGCTGTAGCGGCCGTGAGTCGAGGGTATCATTTTGGCTTGTTGTTCGGCTATGTCGATGTCAAGTGCTCACAAGCTCGGAGCTTTGTGATGGATGCTGTGTTGTCTGATTTGTGTGCATACGGAAATGGAAACTGGAGGAGGGGCAGGGGACATATATGTCTGTGCCGTTGTCATATCAGCGGTGAGGGAAGCGAGGTGGGATGATCATGGTCTCAGAGCATCCTTTCTGCTACAGAAGCTTGATATTCGGCCTCATGCTTGACTCCGCTGAAAGGGTCGCGAAACACCAAGGGTTTTTTTTTTTTTCATACTTCGATGAAAGGATACACCCATATCAGTACATCTTCCGCATGGCGTCAGCGAGTCGAGCTCAAGCGAGGGGTCGAGAGACAGTTCAAAGGATCTCTCAAGGATGTATTTTGCGACGGCGGGTGCCACAGCCACACTCGGGAATCACGTCACCGCGCGCTTCCCTCATCCTCGCCCTCCACTTTGACCACCACCCACCACACCACACACCATGAACCCGCACAAACGACAACAACGACAGACCTACAATATCTGTCCTTTGAATCTCTTCACCTCTGTGACAGAACATACCTCGACTCGAGTTCATCCTTCACCATGGCGCCCAATATCACCGAGATTCAATCGACCGCCGGTACGCGTCACTCAGCTTGTCGAGAGAATGATAACTTTGGTTGTCGTAGCTGACGAGAGCGCGTGTCCGCAGAGTTTGATGGTATCGTCAGGTCTTTGCCGCCTGCACAGCTTCTTGTCATTGGTGAGCTATAACGTAGTCGCTTCCCAGATGCAGAAATGTAGCTGACTCGGCCACTGTCAGACTTCCACGCGGTAGGTGCTGAGTTGAGGAAGAAGGAGTGTCGATGTCTATATCAGATTGGGTCTGACGTTGTGGAATGAATGGGACAGACCTGGTGCGGACCATGTCATGCTATAGCACCGGTCCTAGAGCAGCTGTCAAACTCGGTGAGCTCCCGGGTCCCTTGCCCACTGAAAGGCCGGCGACGAGAGCTGACCATCTATTCCCGGTGCAGTACAAGCATGTCAAGTTTGTCGTGAGTGCCGAACGCCGCTTCTCGCCCTGGCTATTACTGTGGATGAACGTATGCTGACAGTGGTATCAATCACATGGCCACATCGTTCAGAAAATTGATGTCGACAAGCAGGCTCAGCTTGCCCAGAGGTTCCAAGTGAGGGCGATGCCTACGTTCAAGTTCTTGAAAGGAGGGAGAGAAGTTGACGAGGTATGTTTCAGGCCTTTTATCCGCACCATGTGCCCTCCCACCCTTATGCAAGGACACTGATACAGGGGTGTATGGGAGTTGATGACTGATACAATTCCGTTGCTCGCCACGCATCACGCAGCTCCGAGGCGCATCCCCTCCCCAGCTCAATGCACTGGTGGCGAAACACGCCGGACCTGTCACTGCTGCCTCTGCCCAAGCAGGCTCCTCCTCGTCTTCATCTTCGGGACCCGTCAAATCGTCCGCGCCCAGCGATACGACCGAGTCCCTGCTGAAACATGTCATCTCAAAAGGATTGACATGTTTGAACGAATCGTCGGACCACCCCCTCTCCTCCATCGTAGGGCCCAATCCCGGCCCGAGAGGAAGATCGTACCTCGAGTCCGACGTCGACCCGGAACTGTTGATCTCAATCCCGTTTCAAGATCCCGTGAAACTGCGATCCATCTCCATCTTCTCTGCTATCAGCCCCAGCCAAGCGCCCAAGACTGTCAAGCTGTTCATCAACAACACGAACATCGATTTCGCCGATGCGGAAAGCCTGACCCCTGCGCAGGAGCTGGACCTGACCCCGGAACAGATCAAGGGAGATAAGATCGATTTGAGATTGGTCAGGTTCCAGAATGTCAGGAGCTTGCATATCTTGGTCAAGGACAATCA